TTCAAAGAAGTGTTTGAAACGTGACCTAAACATATGTGCCATAATACAGAATCATCTTTGGCACATTGAAGGGAATTACATTTAGAAAAAAAAAGATTTATAATCTGACTTATTCTGAGAACCACAACTAGATCGATGAATAAATACATCCAATGAGTATAATCCTTCGTATGCCTTAGCTGAACCAATCATCTCCAGTGTATGGTTTTGTTTAATGAAACAAGAAGAGGCATAAAAGTTAGATGATAAGATTGGATCTGTAAAAGCTTCATAACAGAGATTAATTTCACTCTAAATTGTGGAACATAGAGGACAATATAGAAGATTATCTTAGGTGTAAGAGTGACTGTCCCTAAATGATTTCCTATAACTTTAGAACTATTTGGTTGGGTGATAAAAATAGGTGAGATTTTCTAAAGTGAAGAAAAACTAGAATGAAGGAAGCTTATATGGTCTGTGGCTCCAATGTTGATCCACCTTTCAGAAATATTACCTGTACATTGATTCACATATGCATTTAGAGCAGCAATATGAACAAGATTGGTGGAGTGTGTTACTTTTGTGCTAGCTTTGGATTGTGTAATAGATTCACAATGGTATCATATTGCTTTTGGGAAAGTGTAAGATTGTGCGAGGCCTTTCTTCATTGTTGCCTTCTTCGAAAGAAGCATTTTCTTGGTTTTCTTGAATAGCACAATTAGCAATACATGAATCTCTTGATTTATATCCAGGCGAAAAGCTATGAAGAGAAAACAAGTTTCATCCGTGTGACCATTTCACCCACAGTGCGTACAAACTTTGTTGCTTACACTAGTGTTTTTACCACCATTGTGTTGTCCTCTTCCCTCTCCATATCTGCCTCTTCCTCTGCCAGCTCCAAAAGGAGCTTGGGAATTATTGTTAGAAGCATTAAATAAGACTTTTCGTTCTACAGAATTAATATGATCCAAGTTGAGTTATCTCTCTTGTTGTATCACAATAGAGAAAGTTGTATTAACATCATGAAATAGATTCAGCATCATTGTATGCGACTTCACTTGAATATACTAATCATTGAGGGTTTTTAGGAACCTAACAGTGTGATCCATCAACCTGTATTCTCTCATTGTTGTATAACCACCGCAGTTGTAAGAAATAGCACATCGGCAACTTGGCAATGGCTTGAGATTATTGAGTTCATCCCATAGTGTCTTCATGTGTGTGAAATATTCTATTACATTGCGTTCTCCTTGCCTTAAGATATAACTGCTCTATTACATTTGCAAATCAAAAACTCAAAAAATATCAGATTGAGAGAAGCGAGACTACAGATCAAGCCAAGCTTCTCTTGCTCGATCGATCCATAAGATGGATTGAGCTATTGAGTCAAAAATGGATCTATGAATCAGTGATAGAACTATTGTGTTGTAGCTCTGCCACGCTGGATAAAGAGGATATGTATCTTCTGGTTGAACAGTGCTACCATCGATGAATCCAATTTTGTTATTCGAGAGCAGTGACATCGTCATTGCACGAGCCCATGTATGGCAGTTTCGGCCATCAAGCAAATGTGTTAACAATACTAGAGCTGGATTTTCATTAGGATGAATGAAAAATGGATTTCTTGGGTTTGTCAAGAAATCTAGTAAAACAACAACCATTTTCAAGAACAAAGAAAATGAAAGAAAAGAGGAGGAGGAAGAAGAGGAGGAAGAAGATAGATCTTGGTTTTTGATACAGTGGAATAGTGATGGTTACCAGAGCCATTTTTCGGAGCTCTAATACCATCATGTAAAAATAAGCTTTCATTATGTCATAAATATTATGAGGAAAAAGTGAGTACAAAAGTGTAGCTATGCACTTATATAGAAATGCAAAGAATACAAGTAAGCTTTACACGTCAAAGTGAGAAACATAAAATACGAGAAAGACTAACCAAAAGTAATTTTGGAACTAGAATCAGTTACATGAGATTATCACGTGCATGAAACTAGAGAGCTACGTTCCTTTGATACTTGGTTCAAACTCTCTTTTGCCTTTTCTGTATTAGTATACTGTATTAAAATTTGCATTTCATAATTTAAAGTCTTTGAAAAAGAACTTTAGTTAAAATTTGGCTTGTGTCCTTTTGCATTTGGCTCTTTTTGTAAATTTTATTTTTAATACAAATTACTTTGGTTAAAATTTCATTGCAACTGTTTTTTATGTTTCTATCGCCAATCATGTGGCACTTCACAAATTTTTTCAAACACTAGATAATGAAAGGAAATTTAGTTGTATTGTTAGAAACCCTTGCAAAGCTTGATGAACAAAATGGTATAGAAGGTAGAATAGAAAGATTTATCAAATTTTTAACAGTGTCAAGTAAAGATTTGGATGGAAAAAATCAAGTGTTGTGAATGATTAAAAAATAATGCAGGGTTAAGTAATTCAAAGAAAATTTATAGGAGAGTTTTTGAAATTTTTTCAAAAAAAATAAGTTGACGAAGTACATGAGAGATCTAAAACCAATTTATATATCGTGATTAATTTTTTATGAAAAAGAAAAATTTATAACAAAAGAAATACAATGATTTTTACAAATTGAAAAAAAAATCTAATCTAAATAAAGATTAGAGTATAACCCACGTACATTTTAAACTAATCAACAATTTAGAGTTTTGTTCTTTGTTGAAAACTATGGGTGACTAGCATTTTTTACTATACAAAATAGTAAATTCTGAGAACTATACATCACTTTAAAAAAAAAAAAAAAAAAATCACCAAACACCACTTATTCTACCCATCATCACTTTTTACTATAATTTTTATTTCTCATATTATATGAGAAATATAAAATCCTTTAAAAAAAATATTGAATAGCTAAGCATAAAATCTAGAAGATTCTTAGGTAAGACAGATTTATCATAAATATTCATATAATTTTTTAATGTATACAGAAATGCAATTTTTTTTTTGGTGGGTGTAAGTACAAATACATTTTTAGCTAGACCCATCAAATCACAAATGTGAACTAATAATTGGATTAAACCGGTTCCTATTTAAAAATTATTCTATAGCCTTAGCTATTGGCAGAAGTGATGGCATGCTCAAATTAATATATGATGCGTGCCCTCGAATCCAAGGCAACTAATCAAAGCTCTACTTTATCTTCCACGAAAACGCTTTGTTGTAGTTTTCTAATTGCGTAAAGTCTACACAATTATTGACACAGTACTCTGATAAGCTCTTCGAGTCAGTTTTAAATTTTTTACTAATATATTATTGTAGCAAACATGATCGTGTGTATTTCTCAACGGAATATTCATAGAATTTGTATAAGCTCTTAAACAGAATTGTGACACATAATTATACGATATGCCACAACTGTTTCAACATCTGTTAATATATTTGTTTATTTAATGTAACGAATAACATTTTTAAAACTGACAGCATGTTTTCATTGATTCAGATATATAAATAATATTTATATAAGTCAACATTAAAGTTAATATCACCTTTTATCTTAATGAAAGAGATCATCATAAGTAGTGGTAGATTTTTGTGCAAAAAAATAAGAGATTAGAAATCAAAGGGATGATATAATTTTTTTTTTGAATACATTGGAAATCAAACACCACATTTACTATCCACTACTTAATCCCCTTATCACTAAGCTAGTCCTAATGACTTAATCAAAGAGGTGATATGTGGTATAGCAACACATCCTTACGGCTTATTTGGTGTGATATATAAATCAGATAGCAATGTTATTAAAATTGAGATTTTATGTAAAATTAAAAGAAAATCATAATGTAAAAAAAATCGTAAAAACGTAAAGGCATTTGAAATATTAATAAAATCGTTTTGATGAAAAAAATCGTAAAAACGTAAAATCATAGTGATAAATCAAGATTTTAACAACTATGGCTGATAGCATAAGCTTATATTATACGTTATGATATTTTTAGTTGTTTGGTGTGACCATTATACAGTATAAACTTATACAGCATGATTCCTTTATACATCAAAATTTAATCAGACCTTATACTATCAAACCTTATCTTATAGTGTGTACCAAACATGTGTTTTAAATGTGTATTCGTGGGGTTTTATTTTTATTTAGAGAGGAATTACTCACGAGAGTTTGGATAGAACTCAAACTCTTTAATGGATAACGCTCATTATCTATAAGAGATAGGTTATTTTACTTATTATTTTTTCTGCCTACTTTTACTTACCACTCTAAAACATTATTAGATCAGAATCTTAACTAACATTTATCTTTCTCTCTCTTCTTAAGATTCTGATCTAACGGTGTTGGAGGGTGATAGACAAAGGTAGGCAAAAAGAATGATAGGTAGAATAACATATCCCTATCTATAATTCCAATTTGGAATTTGTGCTTATATTTTTCAGAATATGTAGAACCCATTATGTGAATCTCGAATAAATTGAGATCAATAAAAAAAAAAACAAATAGAGGAAATGAATAAATAAATATAAGGGAAAAAAAAAAAAACTAACTCGCCTAGAACAAAAACTATGTCTAAAAATATTATATTGATTTAACAACCGTGATACTCTACGAAAGCACCAAGCATAAAATTTGGGCAACCACCAAGAAAATATGCTTATGAGAGTTGAAATAAGCAATAAACAACCATGAAAAATGGTCCAAATTAGTTTCCTTGCTTCCCACCAAGTCACTTTGTTTGAAACATCGAACACATTTCTTATTCATGAACAACTCAATTGTATCAAATAGCAGTGAGAACAAAATATCATTCAGGATCCTATATGAAAGCTGTCATCTTGTGTCACTAATTAATATAATATAATCATACAGAAATTATTAAAAAAAAATCATTGTTTAGATAGCTCTTGTCCCACGCTATGATCGGCATATGGACACAACTTTGCCTTGTCAACTTCGTCAAACTCTAAAAACAATAGAGAAAGAGGGTATGATATTCTCACTCACTACTTGATTGGTTTGCAAAACCCACGTCAAGCTTCTTTCTGCAATTTTGTCCATAATAATGAGCTTGGTCTTTAACATAAGCTTTTGCTATGTGATCTTATTGCTTCTATCATGGAACATGGTCTTGTGTGGTGAAATTTTTGATTTCAATCCAGAAGAAAGAGATGCTTTGTTGCTCATAAGGGATTCTTTAAATTCTTCTGCCAATTTGCATGGGAATTGGACAGGCCCTCCTTGTTTAGACAATCAAAGTAGATGGTTTGGTATCACATGTTCCAATTGGCATGTTGTTCTTATTGTCCTTCAAGGAATTAACCTTAGTGGAAGTTTACCCCCTACATTCCTTCAAAACATAACTTTCTTGAGCCAACTTGACTTAAGAAACAACTCACTTTTTGGGCCACTGCCAAACCTCACAAATTTGGTGTTTTTGGAACAAGTCCTATTCTCATTTAATCATTTCTCAGGGTCAATTCCTGTGGAGTATGTTGAACTTCCTAGTCTACAAGTGTTGGAGCTGCAAGAAAATTACTTAGATGGTCAAATCCCACCCTTTGATCAACCATCATTGGCTAGTTTCAATGTGTCATACAATCATCTTGTAGGGCCTATTCCTGAGACTTCTGTGCTCCAAAGGTTCCCAGAGAGTTCCTTTGATAATAATTCAGATCTTTGTGGGAAACCATTGGATAAGTTATGTCCTGCTGAACCTCCTGCCCCATCTCCAGCACCAATTATTATTCCTCCATGCCCAGCAGTGGAAAAAAATAAGAACAAACTTCAAGTATGGATTATTGCTTTGATTTCTGCTGCAGCTGCACTGTTTCTTTTCCTGATCATTATTGCTTTCTTGTTTTTTAAAAGAAGAGCAAGTGGAAAAGAAGCAAGAAGAAATGACTCAGCAGGTAAGATATATCTTACACATGTCAATCCAACCATTGGTTTTCTTAACAACTTATTAGAATGTTATTTTTATAAACTTTATAAGAAAAAAAATGTAAAAAACATTTGTCTAATAAATGTAGAATGTCATAAAGTAAAATGCTGTCTGTTACTGATTCAGGATTTCTATATGTTTTTTAACTTTTTGTATTTCTCTTATAGGGTATGTTTTTAGAGCATGGGCAAATAAGATGGTGTATTATAGGAGCAGTGAAGATTCTGAAAGATTAGGCCAATTGGAATTTTCCAACAAGAAATTTCCAGTTTTTGACTTGGATGATTTATTAAGGGCATCAGCAGAAGTTCTAGGAAGAGGGAATTTAGGAATTACATACAAAGCAACACTTGAAACTGGTACTGTTGTGGCAGCAAAGAGATTTAGCTACATGAATGAATTGAGCAAGAAGGAATTTTTCCAGCAGATGCAATTATTAGGACAGATGAAGCATGAAAATCTTGTAGAAATTATCTCCTTTTATTTTTCAGAAGAACAAAAGCTGATCATATATGAACTCATCTCTGGTGGCTCTTTGTTTGAGCTCCTACATGGTTAGTTTGATTCTTTCCTTCCTAAAATTCCCACTCAATTCCTAAAGAAAACACAAATAACTAAACTAACACACTAACATTCATAATCTGCTTGTACTAGAGGATAGAGGAGTTGGAAGAAAGCCTCTTGATTGGACCACAAGACTGGCTATTATCAAAGACATAGCAAAGGGTCTTGCTTTCCTTCATCATTCTTTGTCTTCTCACAAGGTCCCTCATGCAAACCTCAAATCATCCAATGTCCTAATCCATCAAGATAACCAAGGTTACCATTCCAAGCTCACTGATTATGGCTTCTTCCCTCTACTCCAAGCTAAAAATGAAGCAGAGAAGCTAGCCATAAGGAAGTCACCAGAATTTGATAAAGGGAAGAAGTTGACTCACAAAGCTGATGCATATTGCTTTGGTATCGTTATGCTAGAGATTATAACTGGGAAAGTTCCTGGTCAAATCTTAGGGGAAATTGAAGAAACAACCAATGATCTTTCAGATTGGGTAAGAACAGTGGTGAACAATGATTGGTCCACAGATATACTTGATTTAGAAATATTAGCAGAAAAAGAAGGGCATGATGCAATGTTGGAGCTAACAGAGTTAGCTCTAGAGTGCACAGATATGACACCAGAGAAAAGGCCTAAAATGAGTGTAGTATTGAGGAGAATAGAAGAGATAGAGCAAATGAAAACAGAAAATGACTGAAAGTCAATGCAGCAGGATGTATTGTCATGCATGAAGAGCACCTTATGAATGTTGTATTCAATCAGAACACTCAATTCAGATGACACTATCATCCAAAAGCAGAAATGGCTTGACAACTGCATATAACATTTTTTTCAGAAGAGATAAAAATCTCTTTGATATTGATAACATTCCTTTGTTTTTTCTTTTTCTTTTTATGTTCTTACTTTAGAAGACACACTATTAAGGATTAGAAGATTTATTGACAGAATTTGTACCAAATATAAACAATGATTTCTTTCTTCAAAGTTTTGAGATTGGAAATATGACAAATATTCAAGATCATCTGGGATCTCCTTTTCCAGTTGTTACTATTTTTAATTTTTTTTCTCCCCATAGCTTCAACTATGTCCATATCTTGGGAACATTAGGAAAATTACAGTTAATTTGAGCTATTTATTGAATGAAAGTATGTTTATCCTCTCATTTATATAGATTCAATTGAAAGAAGGAACGTATATAGTCATTAAGCATTTGAGTTTAAGGAGAAAGGGGTAATTTCAATTAGTTAATCAATGTAATATTAGCACATAAAATTTGTTTATATACCAGAATTACTTAACCAAACCAAGAATTTCCCATAGAATACGATGAACTTGAACTGGGCCAAATATTTTGGGTTAGTTAAGTTTGTCTTTACAAAGGGTACACTCCGCAAGTAAAGTTAGGCATGGACCATTCCAACTCATCCATTGAGAATGATTCCATTTTGCATCAAAATCATATGATTTATGTTCTACCAGCGTAGATAAAGTCAATGGAATCCTACAGTGTCCCGACCTCGTGGATGCATATTATTGGGTTTTTTTTTTTTTTTTTTTTTTTGACCTTTTTACCCCTCATTAATTAATTAATAATCATTTTGTCTCTCGTTAATTAATTAATAATCATTTTGTCCCTTACCCAAAACTATCCACCAACCTATCCCTCTGTAATCGATTAACTTCAATATTTAATCGGTTAAATGGTCAAAATATGCAAAAAAATGTTGACCCGAGGTTTAATCTATCAAACCTCGGGATATTTAATCGATTAATCCTCTAGTTAATCGATTAAAACTCGACAGAAACCCTATATTTACATTTCTCGGTCTCATTTCAACTATACTTGTTTTTAAAATCAAAATCTCTCTTTTTTGTCATCTGTAACCCAAACTATCAAGAGTCTATTTCATCTCACCATCTCTAAAGCCTTAATTTTGTGAAATCATTATCATTGCACTTATTTATTCCTTTGATGTTGGAAAAATCCGAACCCAAACCCCCAAAATCCGAACCCTAATCCCAAATTCGTGTGAAAGATGAGCTCAAGTCCAAACATGTATGTTACAGTGATCTACCACGATGGAAGGCATTATGAAGGTCCCAATGGTGTTCAATTTGAAAGAAAAATGAAAATGTTGAAAATCAAACGGCACTACATACAACGAGTTGAAAGGGGGAATTCACCAAAAAATGGGGCTACAAGGCAGCCAATGCATTCAGCAGATGATAGCCAGTGTGGAGTCTACAGTTGGTAAGGATGCTATATACTACATTAGTAACGATATATGTGATGATGAAGACGTGAAATGTGTCATAGATGCAATTGTTGATCGAAAATTTCAAAATTTTATTGAGATATATGTTAAAATTGATTGTGGTCAATCTTCATCTGCACCCATGCATACAAGAAGTCAACAATATTTTGGTCAAGAAGACAGAGTCGTCGATTTATCTGCACCTGCACCTGTCATAAGTTAGATAACATTGAGGGATGTAGATGAGGATGAGCACGAGGAGGATATGAAGAGTAATGATGAGGGTGAACCTGAGAGTGTTATTCCACTAGGTGACACCTCAGATACTGACTTGGAGGGTGATTTTGATGCGGACACGAACTCAGGAAACTTGAGATCCCCAGTTATGCCACCACTTCGTGTTAATCCAATTAGCAGTGGTAAGATAGTAAATTAAAGTTTTAATTTAACATTTAGTCTTTGGGTTATTATTGGTACTGACAGAAAAGTAATAATTTAGACGTAGGTCCTGAGATTGAGCCATTTTGGAACGAAAGCCCGCATTATTCCTTCATTAATTGGGCCACCCTAATGATGAGACAGAGATATTGTATGGTGACAATGACTTGCACAATGGTTGGCAATTAGGGGATCCATTATATTTGTATCAGGAGTTTCGTAGCAAATCTGAAATGCAACATGCAGTAAAATTATATTGTATGAAGGCTTACCTTACAGCCGTAGAAGCAAAAAGTGATGAGCATAGATTTGTGATGAAGTGTCGACACCATGCTGATGGTTGTCCCTGGTTTGTGAGGGCATTGTTGCCGAAGAATGGAAATACTTGGGTGGTCAGTAAGTGGGGTAAAGAACACACCTGCCTAAACCAAAGTCTCACCCGGGATAATAGATAGCTGGATTCTGATTTTATCTGTGCAGCCATTATGAGTATGTATTGTACGATGTGTTGTTATATATGTTATGTTTATGTTATTTAATGAAAAATGTTTATTGACAATGTTGACTTGGAGTTTGTTATTTATAGGTATGTTAAAGGAAGAACCATCTTTAAAACCAAAAACACATCAAATAGTTCGGTAAATAAAGGAAATACATGAAATAAACCAAAAACACATGAACTAAAAACTAAAACCTAAATCTACTTCTCATCCTCATCAGACTTCGTCTCCTCATCCTCCTCATCTGACACATGAGCCCTCTCCCCTGCTGGCTCCTCAACCTCGTGTCCTCGTGCAAGCTCCAGACGAGCAAGCATATCCTCCACACCCTTGAATCGACCCTGAATGTGCTTAAACCTTTCATTCCCTTTCTGAATATGACTCTTCCTCCATTTTTTTGTTTAAGTGCCATCTTTCCTATCTTCTTAAGTGTGGCATTTATGCCCTTCATGACATCACGAAGGGAAAATCCACCCTCAAGCTCAGCTATCTCCTGCAGGTTATGAACCTCATCATAATGAGGGACAAAAAAGTCAAAAAAAACTCCTATTATTGTTATGAACCTCATGTTACATTATAATTCTTTTTTAGTTGTTTGGGTTTTAACTCCCAAATAACTGCAGCAACTTAAAGTTTTTCTAAATCTATTTATACTTGTTTGTAATAAATTGTATTTTAACGAGTGATGTGAGAAGAATATAATGATAAATTTATTGGACGTAGCCCTGTATTGAAATAAACGGGGATAATCTGTGTCTCCTGCTTTTCTTCCTTTTACTTTTTATTTGCAATTGTGTATTATTAAATCAATCCTTGGAATAATTTGCAGGTTCGGTTTTTTAAAAATATATATAATAAACGATAAATGATAGGATATTGTGTCTATTTTTTCATCCCTACTCTATCTATTTATCTTTAATACTATTAGATTAGAATTTCATTTGACTTTAGTCCTCTCTCTCTTTTCTTGAGATATTGATTTAATGATGTTGGAGATTAATAAATAAAGTAAGCATGAAAAAAATAGATATAATATTTTATCACATATAATAATTACTCAATATTTATTAAATCATATGTGTAATTTAACACAAATTGTTGATATAATTATAAACTGATTTAATGTGTAATTTAACACTAATAAATAAATGTTTAAACTGATTTAATTTAAAAGATACATTTGGTATTATTTTAAAGGGAAACGTGTTTGTCCTTTTAAATGACACAACTTATATCCTTTCACTCTCACAAAGAGGTGGGACCCACACCTTTATATTTTTTGTCCACTCTCTCTCCTTCTTTATATATCTCTTTCTCTCACTTAAAATGACACAATTTTATGTCCTTTAAAATGATACACATTTTTCCCTATTTTAAATGAAATAATGTTGTTTTAATATATATTTGTTGTCTTTATATTTTCTCTTCTCCTTTAAATTAGTGAAAAAAAAGAAAAAGAGAATATTCTAAAGGAGAAAGAATATAAAAAAAACCAACATATATGCTGCGAAACACTTTTTTCCAGTTAAAGTAACACAAAGTTGCGTTTTTTCATATGATAAATATTTTTCGCTTAAATTTTATAAAAAAGTAAGATATAATTGTTGTTGCAATTGTTAGAAATCGATACACAAATCACACAAATTGAGAAAATAGAAAAGAGAAAGGGATGGGAAATTCATATGTTTACTCGTAGGCTACGTCTAACTTGTCTGTATTATATTTATATCACCATCAATCGTTATAAATTACTCAGTTTATAAAAGAATATAAATAGAATTTAGAAAGTCCATATGTTCAGGAGCTCAAACCCAATCTACTGACAAAAAAAGAAAATTACAATAAGTCAAGACTCATAACAATACCATGCTTCTATTGGTCCGGGGGTGCTGCCCCTATATCATGTTGGGGCGGCTTCCCTAGATCCGTCCCTTCACCTGAAACCCCATTTAATTTTCTGCTGAACCGACAACAAGAGTCCTTGTTTGAATGCGAAGTATGAATAATATTGTCTATCATTAATAAAAAGAAAAAATGTTTATCTTTTTAAATGATACAATTTATATTCTTTCACTCTCACAAAGTGGTGAGACCCACACTTTTATATTTTTCTATCCACTCTCTCTTCTTTTTTATCTATCTCTTTCTTTCACTTAAAATGACACAACTTTAAAATGATACACACTTTTTCCTAAATAAAAATTGCACAAGATTCAATACACAAAGTCAGACAAGTCATTGGAACCGCAACCGCAAGGGATAAGCTACACTTGGTTTTTGTCCTAGTTGAGAAAATTAGGATGGACATAACATAACACCGAAATCAAACATTGATTGCCGATATAGATGAATGTGCAGGAAATAGTTACTCAAATTGTAATAAGCAGCCAACACATATCACTATGTGTCAACCATATAGCATATGACCAAACCAGGTGTCTCACCCAAGTCCAACACCTATTTTCTTCAAATAAGCACAATCACTCCACTTTTCAGCCATGCAAAGGACCTTCTTTTGGCCTCTCTTCCTCAAAGTTTTCTCACCTTTCAAATTTCCCATTTTGCAGTTTCATTTGCTGCAAAAAACAACCTTTTCTGAAAAGAATAGTCACAATCTCAGCTTGATCAGGACCATTCATCTTGAAAGATTAAAATCTTAGGAAAGGTGAAATTGTGATGGCAACCCGTAACTATGCTTTTGGAAGACAGGATGAGGCTACTCACCCAGATTCCATGAGAGCCACTTTAGCTGAATTTGCCTCAACTCTCATCTTTGTCTTTGCTGGAGAAGGCTCTAGCCTTGCTTTGGGTATGTATATATATATACTCAAAATCTCTACTTGCATGCTTAACTAGCTTGGTTCATACTTCACATAAATAAATGGTTTAAATTTTTATTGTCTATTCCTCTCATTTTCATGTATAAACTTTTTTATCAACTTGGATCTTTGTGCTTTTGTTAATGTAACAAACGATATTTATTATTTAACACATGCATGCCATGATTAAGCTAGTGTTTTTTTGGGCATGCATGATGGTGATTTGCGTACTCTCTCTTTGTTGCAGTTAAGATTTACAAGGATGCAGATTTCTCAGCTGGTGAGTTAGTGGCAGTTGCACTTGCACATGCCTTTGCTTTCTTTGCTGCTGTATCTGCTAGCATGCATGTGTCCGGCGGCCATGTCAACCCGGCCATCACTTTCGGTGCTCTCATCGGCGGCAGGATTTCGGTGGTCCGGGCAGTCTACTACTGGATTGCTCAACTTCTGGGTTCTATAGTGGCTGCCCTCTTGCTCAGGCTTGTTACCAATAACATGGTAAACTAACTCCCTCTTTTCTTTCATTTTCCCTTTTATTATCATCTATGATAAATAGAGACTCAGAACTCGAGATCACTGATTAAACAGAAACAATCTCTTACCAGTACTTACCAATCAATTTTAAAATAAGCTAATTACTTAATTAATATTGTAGCTACAAGATTTCCATTGGTATGATAACTACAAGATTATAAAAACCACTCCCGCTTAACCCCACCAAGCGAGCGTGGGGTAGAGGAAATCCTTGTAGCAAAGAGGCGGTTTCTTGGATTCGAACCCGCGACGCGACCTTTCAGTCATAAAGAAACAACTCGGCTCACTCCTTTTATAACTACAAGATTATAGCACAAGTAAAAATTTTATTGTCACAAAATTAAACACTTAATGAAAAGTTGGCAAAACTTATATGTTATTGTGGTTGTTTATTGTAGTCTAATCTTGTATTGTAGTCTAATCTTGTAAATACAAGATTGGATAATAGTGACATGATCAAAAATTGAACTTTCAGTGAAAACTGATATGTTGTTGTGGTTACTTCTTACAGAGACCAGCAGGGTTCCATGTGGCAGTGGGTATTGGAGCATTTCATGGGCTTATACTTGAGATTGTGATGACATTTGGGCTTATGTACACAGTATATGCTACAGGAATTGATCCTAAAAGGGGTAGCATTGGTACCATTGCACCCTTGGCAATTGGGCTCATTGTTGGGGCAAACAACCTTGTTGGTGTGCCATTTGATGGAGCATGCATGAACCCTGCACTGGCTTTTGGGCCTTCCTTGGTGGGCTGGAGATGGAACTATCACTGGATCTACTGGGTGGGCCCATTTATTGGAGCAGCAATTGCAGCACTGATATATGAATATGTTGTGATCCCAACTGAGCCACCTCATCCACACCAACCTTTGGCTCCTGAAGATTACTAGTTACCTTTATCTATTAAATTTTAAGTGTTACTAGTTGCCTAAAATATAAGGTTATGCTTGTGTTCCTTTTGTTTTTTTACCACCTTTCTGTTCTAGTTGCCACAAAGCTACTACGTCTGAGTTTGCATTTTTATTTTTCTTCTGTTTTTGGGGTCTCAACTCCCAAAACTTAGTTAAGTGTGTAGCTATTGTCTTTTGTATGCGGCACATATATTGAATAAAATGTATGATCCTGTTTTCTATAGTAATTGGCATCAGATTCAAGTGACACTTGACTTGATTGTAAACTAATATACTAAAATTAATCAATAGAATATAAAAAGATTACCTATTTGAAGGGTGTAGATGGTTTAATTGTAACATGATCTAGAGTGTTTATTTACTGAAGATAATAATACCCTATATAACATGAAAGAACGATGGGTACCATTGAAGGCCATTTTTTTTCTTAAGTTTCAATTGATGCGTTTTTATTTCTATGAAAATTTTATTATGGGAAAGTATTTGCAGAAAATTTTTTCTGCCAGAAATATTAAACCCTTTTTTTTATAGCACTTCAATCCTTTTATCCTTGAAGACTCCAAATATCACAATTAAAATTAAATAGTTAAACCGGGAGGTTCCACATTTCTAAACTATGTAGTACTGACACGGGACGTGACATAACACGACATTTTGACAAATTAATTCTAAAAAATCATAACACCGACATTTTGACAAATTAATTTTAAAAAATGTTATATTTCAACACGTTAGAACACGTTTTGCTATTAAATAATATTTTTAATTTATGTAGTGTATATTATATTTAATATTCAATAATTTAAAAAAAAAAAAAACTAAACTTATAATATTCATCAATTTTGCAAAGAAATATAAGATATCTCAAATATTTAAACTAAATTTAATAACATAGTAATCGCAATCTAACGTATCTAATTTTTAGAACTAAAAACTTAACGCAACATAACTTTTGAATTTTTTTTTAATGTCTATAACGTGTGTTGAAGTGTCGGAGAGTGTCGAATACGACACGTCAGAATTTTTGAAGTATCAGTACTTCATAGTTTCTGGATCATCCATATCATCAATCTTTTCTCTCTTTCAAATAAAATTATGAATAGTTTTAGGGCCGTAAATTAAACAAAATTGATTAAGGAATTCGTTTTTGTTATTTCATATTGAATTCACGCGATAAATATTAACAAATTACATAATTGGATTGCTACCTATGCCTAAATCTCATATAAATGGAAAAGGCACAACCTGTCCTTTATGTCTAATAACAAATAAATGCATCATAATAATGTAAAAGAGTCAATATTATACATCTATACTTTGTGTTTGTTTGTAAAACCTGGCGACCCAAGGAGCAAGTTTAGTATCATGAGGTGTCCTAGGGTTGGCAGAGTAATAATCAGACCAAAAACAAGGGTTGAGTCTATCAGCAAATTTTTTGTCAGCATAAAGGCAAAAGGGTAGCCAATTTTCACCTCCATTCATTCTTCTCTTCCTTTCCCTTGGGTATGCTAAGGGTGCTTGTACATACCTACAATTGTGTCAAAAGCATTTAGAAACATAGCAAGTATATCATGTCTGAAGGAAAATGAGAATTCCAGTGATTCTCTATAGCTCTAAAGAACAGGACTTCAAAGATTCTAATACCAACTCAAACTCTTAAACAGTTAAAAGTGTACAGAACAGCCAAAAAAAAACAATGATAGTTTTAAGTAATTTTCCATTGCCTAAACAACTTTTTTTCTTTTTTTGGTTAAATACCAAGGAAAAAGTGTACATAATAGCCAAAGGTCAAGGTAAAACACCAAAGAAGCTCCTAATACAGTAACACGTGGTAAGGAGCTTGTTTTCCTTAACCACCAGAGGTCTCGAGTTTGAGTTTGAGCAGAATAGAGAAAATACTCTTGGGAGAGCCGTCCCCTATAATAGGTCCGGTAGTGCTTGAACTAGATTGGTCGGATAATGGATGAATCGGTGGATATGTCATAACAACAAATGAATAAAAAAATAACTCCCAATAATACTTTGACTTGTGAGGGTAGAGGTGAAGAATTCTTTGTACGTAAATTTATCGTTATATTTTTGCAAAAAATTGTTTTTAGAAATAAATAAATAAAAATAAAAAATACCTGATACCATCGACAATAGCATCCCAGCAAAAATGGGTGTGACCAAACACATGACAAGAAGATCCAACCCTCCTTCCCTCAGCCCCATGTATAGACCTTATTCGATCTTCAAGAGAGTCTGAACCAATTATTTTTGGGAGCTTGGGATAGAATAACATCCTCTTCTCTGGACATAGTTCCTGCCTGTGAACCATGTAAGCAAATATAAGCAAGCCACAAACAGAAAAAGTAACATAATCTTCAATCTGCTTCAAATATTAAAGCACATCATACATGCATAGAAGCAATAATAAGGGATACAGCAAAGCTACAAGTTAAATGACAGATTAATCACCTGGGAACAAAGTGGGAAAAGGTAATGATGTGATCACAAGTCATCTGAATCTCCTTTATCAATTTCATTTGTTTATCATTCATGGCATCAAAATATAAAGCGAGGGAGATATCTGAAAGGCCCTCCGGCCACTTACATGCATAGAAGTCCTTACATGCCTAAGAAAAAAAAAAAAATCATAGGTACAGATTTACATCAAGACCAGTCTAACTGGCAGAGCCTTGTAATTGAGAACTATAAAAAAGTTAAGAATAAACCCAGAGCAATGTATAGATATAAATACTAAAATGCTATTAAAGAAGAATATTCCTCCAATAATCTGCGCAAATATTAACCTGGATCAAAAACAGGCATAAGGAACTGTAAAAATTAATTTACCAAATTCTACATATGAAGAACTAACTTAGTGACATGTTAGAGTGACACCTCATTGCTGGCTCCATTCCTTTCATATCTGGTAAATTGAAGGGTATCCCTAGCCCCAAAAATGCAAGAACATTATCTCTTCTTTTTCCTTTATTTATTAATTCCCCGCAGTAAAGAATCAACTCTTCCAAAAGCTAAAGTTGTTAGTTGAAGGCTGAAGACTGGGGTTTTTATATCTCTAATAACTTTGCACAGAGTCAACATAAGATCAGCCAAACTACATTATCTTGTATCTATTCTTAACCACAGCATATTACTGTTCTCACACAAACTCTTGGTTGATATCTCCCAATTGCTTACTTCTGATTTCGCACTCTAGCTTATTACCAAATAAAGTGCATAGATTTAGGTAGGCTTTCCACACACAATATTAAAAGCTATACTACACCGTGTCTTCTTATTTTATGTACTTCCAAACTTTTGTCATTACCATGGTTTATATCTATATTTGAATTTATTATTGTTTATCCTTAACTCCTTACTACTTCCCATGGCATGTACCAAGAACAAATATAGATAATGGCAACCTCAAGATTAACTCAGTATATTGTTTTATTATAAGGACTTGATTTGAAAATTCTAGCCTCTACCAATAACCTAATCTCCTTAACATATGCCCTTAACACGACCCTCCCTCCCTACAGCCAAAAATTCGTATTGAAGAACCGATCATGGGAAAGAAGGTTATATAAAACGTGGATCGAACAATATTATATCACATTTCAGAACACTGATAACTAGTTTGGCATAACGGTGCATAGTAATTCCAAAACCAGCACAAGCATGGTATTTTCATACAACAAGGGGCGACAATTTTCGGGATCATGATTATATTATATTCTGCTTATGAATAACACAATATCCCCATTGTCAAAATCAAACAGATGCTTATTACACAAAAATATAAACTAGCATAAAGTTCTTATGCAGGTAGTCCTTAATCAAGCACCATGGGAAATTAAGCGCATGATCAGACCATCGATTAACTATTTTTAAATTGCTTACTAGGAGTTAAGAAAATAGTCACCATCTCCAATGACGGGATGCGAAAGCCTGTTATGTCCTTCTCTTTGTCAAAGCTCTGTGAAAAAAGCAGGTTGAGCATTTAAATAAATTGCCCTTAAGGAAAACTTAGGATCCAATCCAACATATGGAATGAAAGATTGAGGAGGTAAAAATTGACACTATATAAGAAATCACCTCATGGTACCAAGAGAACAAAGGAATGATTCCTAATTTATCTACAACCATTGGATTTGTCTCAACTCCAATTCTCTTACATGCATCAAGCAATTTATTCAGCTTTTCAAGAGAATCAACCTGGAGAAAAATCAGCAAAAAATTTATCAGAATAAAAGTATTGCAATAAAGACAAAAAGGATTCAAGAACAAGTATCAACATCATTAACTTCTAGGTGATAGCACGGCCTTACAATCAATGGAAATAGGATAGTAGTAAGTCTGGTTTCTTATATTATATCATATCAAAAAAGACAGATATGCATCAAATCATCTGTGATTTCAAGTCAAAATAAACCCAATGGCAAATCAGGGTGCAGTAAAATACATCTGAAAGAAGGTTCATGGAATTAATGAAATAACATCTCAAAACAAAATAACAAACCGTTTCCTTTTTTATTAATTTTTTGGTGGGGGTAGCTTACATAGGAGCCATGATCTACTGACACCGCTCAGATAAATAAAGTCACTTATCTAGAACTCAGGTTTTAATTAATCAAGTAAGAAGGGAATAAATTCAGATTAAAGCATGGCCAAAGCCAAACTTAACACACAAGCAAGACTACACAAGCTCCAAATTAAAAGTATATATTGTCAAACAACGCATGCAAAGCTAATCAAGTTGGCAAATAAGTTCTAATGGAATTAGACCACAATCCTCTCCTGATACATTTTATATACATCCATTGTGCCTAACTCTCAAACTACAAAGACATTCATGAACCATGAGAAAAGGATTTCATACACAAAATCATCTATGCAATAGATATCATCAAGAACCAATGATCCTAAAAGTTTGACTTGTTAGGTGGAGGCACAAGAATTGTTTTTATTACTAACAGATATGTTTATGTCAAATATTCTACATAATGCATGATCTCATGATCAAGGGTACAATGACCTTACATAATTTTGTTCCTCACGACGGCACCAAAGGTCATGGTTTCCAGGAACATAGAAGACATGCTCAAATCTTTCTTTCAAAAGAGACATTGTTACAACAAACATGGAATATGTCTCTGCCACATCACCTGCCACAAGAAGAACATCATTCTTGTGCTTGACAGTGGACAAGCACTTCACCCACTTCAAGTTCTCAGCATAATCAGTATGCAAGTCAGACACCACAAACACACGTAACCCATCAGTGTTCCCCAAAACAGAAGGCAATATCTGAGGCCTTCCAAGGTCACCCCTTTTCATGTGTCTCCCATAACTGCAACTAACTGTTAGTTGTTTAGAGAAATATGCAGAGTGCTGAGGCTGTTGAGACAGGGTGAGACAAGAAGGGTTAAACCTCACCACCATGAGCACCCAACAATGATTCAAATTCAGCATAAAAATGCCACCAAGTTAAACAAATGGCAAAAGGGTAGTTGATAATTAGCTCTGAACAGAAAAACCAAGTTCAGATTTGGAACATGAAGGAAAACATAGGAAACATCGAATAAAATACCCAAAACCAAAACAAAACCATGTGAGAGAGAGAAAGGGGTCGAAAAAAAGCACCTTGTTGTGTATTAAACAACGATTTTGCAACAAGAAAACTCGACTTGATGATGAATTGCTAATGGGCCACTTGAAAATTGTGATCTTTTTTTTTTTTTTGATATTGAAAAATGTGATTTTCGATGGAGAAATATGTAATCAATTGCACTAAACCTAAAATTAATATCCTCATATTATGCTAATTTCATTGTACCCTTTCGTAGAGCAAGTATACTTTTACGTATTATGACTTAATTGTAATTAATATTTACAATTTTTCCTGTATTTGTTTCGGGGAAGGATATTATAACAATCAATTAAGTTACAATATAACATTGGTAATAAGATTGATAGTAACTCTAATTGGTTGTTATAATATCCTATCCCATTTCTTTTTCCTCCCTCCAACTTTATTATATATATATATATATTGGGTTTGGTGTTTGTCATTTTAAATGATATAAGTTATGTCATTTTAGGAGAGAGATAGACACAGAATAACGGAAATCATGGGAGAGAGAAAGTGAGTGGTTTTTTTAATTTAAAATTCAAATTTTCTGTGTCTGTATCTCTCTTAAAATGACATAACTATATATATATAGGCAAAAATATTTCTACAGCAACTTTAGATAAGCTTATCTACAGGAGAATATAGTTATAACGTTAAAGTTGCTCTTTTTTCTCTCTCTTCATTTACTTTTCAGAACTTTTTACGTGGAGAGAGAGAAAAGAGCAACTTTAACGTTATAACTATATTCTCCCGGGAGAATATAGTTAAAAATGGCAGCTGTAAATGAAAAGAATTAATCTAAAGTTATATTCTCCCCATATATATATATATATAGGGTTAGGATCAATTTACATTAGTGTAAGTTATATTCTTAATCTTGTCTGTTGATTCCACTCAAATTGTTTAGTAATGTAAGTCATTAGATATAAGTGAATTAATGGTCAAGATTGAGTATAAGACTTCTAATTCTTACACTGGTGTAAGAATATTCTGTCTCATATATGTTATATTCTTAATCTTGTCTGTTGATCCCATTTATATCTAAGGGCTCAAATTGTTTAGTAATATGAGTCATTAGATACAAGTGTATTAATGATCAAGAATGAGTTAGAAGTGTAAGAATATTCTGTCTTATATATATATATATATATATATATATATATATATATATATATATATATGGGGTAAACATTTCTACAGCCACTTTAGATAAGGTTATCTTTTTTTTTTGTAGGTTTAGATAAGGTTATCTACAGTCACCATTTTTAACTATGTTCTCTTGGGAGAACATAGTTGTAATAGTAAAGTTGCTTTTTTTCTCTCTCCTCAGTTACTTTTCAGAACTTGTTTGCTGACGTGGAGAGAGAGAAAAAGCAACTTTAATGTTATAACTATGTTCTCCCGGGAGAACATAGTTAAAAATAGTGGTTGTAGATAACCTTATCTAAAGTGGCTGTAGAAATACTTTTCCCAATATATATATATAGGAAAAAATATTTCTACAGTCACTTTAGATAATGTTATCTACAGCTACTCCTTTTTAACTAAGTTCGACCAGACGTACTTAGTTATAATAATAAAGCTTCTCTTTTTTTCTCTCTCCTCAGACACTGTCGGCTGATGTGGCGGAGAGAGAAAATGCACTTTTAATGTACGACCGGTCGTACTTAGTTAAAAAAGTAGCAGACAACCTTATTTAAAGTGGCTGCAGATTTTTTTTTCAAATATATATATATATATATATATATATATATATATATATATATTCTTCACATGAGACAATTTTGTTCGAAATAGGTCCAAGAATAAAATTTTAAATCCATCCTAAAATAATATTGGAAAATATCAAACACATACCTCCCACCAACATTGCTACCAAAATATATAAATATATGTCTTGAAGTATGAATCTAAACTTATCGACGAAAATCAAAATATTTGTTTTGTTCTTTTTAATATTCACAAATAAGAGTACGGTTATAACATGTGTTAGGATAGGATATTATGTCATTAATTATTTATGGGTAATCATTTTCTGCATTAGAAAGTACGAAGGAAATCGTATGGTGAAAATGTGTTTATGTTTATGTCGTGATTTTTCTATTTTCCAATTCTTCCGCTACATTATTCATTATTTATCCTCTCATTAGCCAGACCCCATTACCTCCTGAGCAAAGACTTCTTGATCGATTGCACATAGTATTTGACTACGGAGAATAAGAATATAACCAAGCCTTTGTAGTATTGAATCAGTGAAGATTTGAGTGATACACTTACTCTTAGACACTTAAGCGATGAGTGAATTGAAAATTCTAGTGAGGAATGTGTATAGATTTAATTCTCTATTCTTTGTGATAGATCTTTGGCTGTGGTTTTATGACTTGCTTGCTTTTGAAAATTGCTTGATTGGATGTTTGTTCTTAGAATTTTCGTGTAATTGTTAAGTCTGGTCATTAATGGATTGATTCAGTGTTTGGTTCTCTTGTTGATGATTCATTTAGCACTTGAATTTATACTTTTACATTTCTTATGTTCGTAAATTAGTCCATTGCTAGGGAAACAATGATTAAATCTGGGAATGATTTGTTAAGTGTCAGATATATTATATCTTTGTATCCAAAAAAAATACATCATATCTTTATGGACAAAAGTATTTGCTTGCTAAGTTGGGGCGCAAAAAGCATGTGCAAAGGAGAACATATTTTGTAGTAGCAGCTCGCTGAGGTGCTCATTCCAGCGAGCAAGCTCAACGACCCTTATCATAAAAAATCTATTATCGTAAAAACTCAGCAAATCACCTCAAAAAGGTAATTACGGTCAATATACGCTTACAAAAAAAAAGGGGCCAGTATACTAAAAAAATATAATGGAGTTATGACACTCTTATATTTTTAAAAAAATTAAAATTAATCGATTAAATTAATTGAATAATCAATGAATCGGTTAAAAGTTAAAAATAATAATAATTAAAATTATGGCCGAGATATCGCGATGCTCATAAAAAAAAAATGGAGTGTCGCGAGGTAGACCACCCTTCGCTGCGATTTGGGAATATGATTCCCAAAGAGTAAATAAATATAACCTTTAATTCTTATACAGTGAATGTAGATAGGTTATCAACATTCATTCTCAAAATGACGTTGTTTTGAATTGAAAAATTAAAAAAATATAATGAAAAAGACTATTATAACCTTAATATAAATTATAATTACACAAATATTTTAATTTCTGCCTCAAAATGACATCGTTTTGGGCTCAATGTAGATAAGTTATCTACATTGACCGTAAAAAAAGCCAACCATAAAAATATTAGCATATGTTTTTAATAAGATGAGATCCAATATATAAGAAGGAATAATTGTTATTAAAAGACTTTTTCAATATTTTTTTGTACAAATGTAATTTACTCTAAATACTTTATTATTTAGTTTTCTTATTTTAATAAAAATAAAAAGGAGAATTTAATTTGGGACAAAATTATTATAGACCGATTGCATATATTGGAGGGCCGGCCTAGTAAAATTGGCTCAATAAACAGCAGAAAAATGGTCATGGTTAAGGTCCAATGATTCTCTACATGTGTTAAAAAATTCTAGATCAGATCACTCACAACTCACATGTAAAAATAACTTTAGAATTAATAATTATTGATTAAGCGATAAAGAAATCGTTATCCCTCTCTATAATGAATCCAACCGTATTGAAGTCCGATAATAACAAATCGATGGATATGAACAAAATAACTCCAGAGAGCAGAGAATCCTCATCTATTGTTCCTCCTGCCTCATAACATTATTAAATGCCCTATGCTTTTGGTAAAGTTAATGCAAAAACTAATTACACCGTCAAAAGCAAAAATAAAATAAATTTGCACATCATGGTCAAATGGGCACATACAATGCCCTTGGTAGGAGTTTTTTTTTTGGATACGAGAATAGATTTTTAGGAATATCATGTTTGGTATCATTTTTAAAAAAATTATCTAGAAAAGTTAGATGTCCCGCTAATCAATTTTGTGTGTAATTTATGGAAAAAATGTACCGTTAACAATACCATCCAGAGATTGATGGGGAAATAAAAAAGGGATAGCAAAAAAAGTAACAAAAGTAATCCTGTGTAATCTTTATTTGATTGAAAAAGGAACTAAAGAGAAAGTATATATGTAATATCACACCAAATTTTCAATAATATTTTATAATTAATCAAATATAGATTCAGTAAATTTATCCAATTGCCAACTAAACAATTTTTTAATTATTTTATCGTTAATATCATTTTCCCATCACATTATTGGTAATCAAAATTTTCGAATAAAAAAAAAAATGTCCTCTACAAAAAATAAACGTCGAGTGTGATGATAAAATGGTAGGAAAGCACATAACATAAACACAACCATGACATATCTCTTTGTTAATTTAAAGGCTCAAAGTCACCCACGTACGCAACCTTTCCATGAGCTCAAATAGAAACCAAATGAGTAACAACAACACAGACACATGGCACTGCCACATACCAAAGCACAAGCAACGCATTCATTGATAGCTGACATACATTAGGATATAGAGGCGACAATTATGACCTTCCAATTTCCAACTCAACAAGAAAACAACCACTTCTAGGGACTCCATTCACAAAGTCTTATTTTAGACTTTTTTCATTTGGACACGCATATGTTTTATCCTTCTCATATGACGTTTTCTTATGTTATCATCATCATTAGGATTCTTATATAGTTGTAAATAATTCTTTTATCTTTTAATTTTTTTAAGTGCTACACATTAAGAAAATACTGTATATATGTAAATTGTTAGAAAGAAAGAGTATCTATATAAGCCTGTTATATTATATATACAAATTTAAGTATGAGATTTATGAATAAATGTAGTAGTGTTTGCTAGGTATAAAAAACTTATAAAATTAATATACAAAGTAGTCATTATATTTTATATAAATCTATCTTGGATTAATCAAACGTTGCCCAGCAAAGTGACAAAGCGAGCTGGGTGTTCTAAAAGCATTAAGATCGCATTAGAGTTATGAATTAAAGACCTCACCTCATGACTTGAAAAAACATTTTATTGTGACAATATTACTCTCTCTTCACTAAGTATATAACAATCGAATTATATAATTATATGTTATCAAAAAAAAAATAATAATAATAATTATATATTGTTAGATTGCACTTAAAATATTATATAATAAAAAATCTAAAACAAAACTTAGTTATTGAAAGTATTACTTTCGGTGTACCCAAGAGTTTTTTCTTGACTTATCTATTTTAAGATAGCATGTTGATAACTTGCCAGTGAAAATACATTATCATCAAAAGTTTACAAATTAAGATAGCATGTTGAAAACTTATCTATTTTTAATGAACTTTTGTTTATGATTTAAACAAAGGGTAAAGTGTGTGTCATTTTAAAAGATATAAAATTGTGTCATTTTAAGTGAGAAAAAGAGATAAATAAAGGAGGAGAGAGAGTTGACAAAAAAAATTAAAGGTGTGGGTCCCACCTTTTTGTGAGAGTGAAAGGATATAAGTTGTGTCATTTAAAAAGACAAACACTTTTCCCTTAAACAAAACAAAAGGCCTTCCCATCGATAACAATCATCCGACTACTTGACATACATTTAACAAATTTGCATAAATTTATATAACAGCCAATATTTTCAAAATCGAATTTTTATGTAGAAACGGAAGGTGTGGTAAAAACGTAAATTTTAGAAATGACACGAAACATAAAATTTCTATACTTAAGGTTAATACATAAAATTATAAACATATGTCATTTAAAACGATATAAGCTTATATTATTTTAGATCCTAACCATTGATTTTCGTCTATCAACGGTTATAATTTATTAGATCAAAATTATTAATTAATTAATAATAAATTTGGCCATTAAGTTTAACCCAATAGATTATAACTGTTGATGGACGAAAATCAAATGTTATGATCTAAAATGATATAAGCTTATATTCTTTAAAAGGATAGATGTTTTCCCATTATTATATATATATATATATATATATATATATATATATATATATATATATATATATATGGGAAAAACATTTCTCAAGCAGCTTGAGATAAGTTTATCTCCGGCTACCCCAAAACTACGTCATTTTATTTATTTATTTCCTTATATTAATTGATTCACTTTTGAAAGGTTATGATTTCATTTTTCTCTCTCTTCCTTATCACCATTGATCCATCTTTGTACGGTTATGATTTAGTAGCCGGGGATAAGATTATCTCAAACAGCTTGAGAAACGATAAGCTATATATATATATATATATATATATATATATATATATATATATATGGTTATATTTATCTCATTTTGCATGAGATAATTAAATTTTCTACACACACACAAAAGATAGTGGGTTCCACTTCTTTTTTTTTCTCTTTTTACCTATGAGTCTCACTTGCAATCTTGTTTCTACAACATAAGATAACTATTTTCTTACAACATAAGAAAATTATTTTCCATATATATATATATATGTGTGTGTGTGTGCACGTAAAACAAAAAATCACACGAGTCAGTACTCAAAATTAATGAATAACTTCATATTTAAAAGATATAAGTCACATAACTATATAAGACATAAGTCTAAAAACACAATAAACGAGAAAATTGAGTAAACGAGAAAATTGAGTAAACAAAAAAGAAAAACAGGGTTTTTTAAAAAATAAAATAAAATAATTGAGTTCAAGTAAGAATGCAAAAACTTACGTTTCTACTATTTTTTTACGTTTTTACGCGGCGTTTCTACCCGTTTTTACTATGGATTATTTTTACTTGCGTTTTAACACTGTGTTTCTACCATTTCTACATTTTTACGTTTTTAGACTAATTTTTTAGACAATAATAACAACTACAAATTTGATTTTAAAAGTATCGGAGAATGATCATTATCAATTTATATATATTTGTTCCGGATGGCCCACTTCTGAACAACCCAATAACTTGGGCCCAAAACCCATCCCCCCCTCTCCCACGTCAGCCCTAATGACTCATATACACCAACCCTCCATACATTCTGTCCCCTAGGCATTTACGCCCCTAGGTGAGACACCAAAATATCTCACCTTGGGATTTCAACCCCCATGGAGACCGCCCCAGACACCATAAATAGTAATCTCCCAACATCAGATGCTGACACCACCGATGCAGAGACTGTATCACTGCCACCACAACAGTGCCAACCACCTCCAATAACTCCTGAGGAGGGTTGACCCCCTCTCACCAACCCACTCAGGGCAGGATGTCACCCCAGTATAAATACCCCTCCCCTGAAGACCAGAGGACATCTTATGTATCGTTACCATGTCAATTTACAAGCCTAAAACATATACACTACCCCCCACTATTTGTTAGCTTAGTTCATACTTGGGCTAACACCGCCTAGCTTGGTTTTTACTTGTGCTAGTTGTGTAACCCATACATTGACCTTCATCCCTCAAGGAAACATATTTGACTTGTAGATCCCAACGGCACATTGGTGGACTTGTAAATCCCAACGGTACAATAGTTTTAAAGAAAAATTGTTAAAATAATATAGTTTGGAAATTATTTATGGGATTAATTTTTTTCATTTTATAGGAGATAATTTTATATTCTATACACGTATAAAAGTGTGTGTGACCCATATTTTCTTTATCTCTCTATCTTGAAATGGCTCTAATGGACTCCACGCACTTTTATGTGTAGAAAATAATTTTATCTTCTACAATATGAAAAATATTAATCCATTATTTATTTAAGAGTTATAGTTTGATATAGTTTCCAAAAAAAAAATTATAGTTTGATATTTTTTATTATTTTTGGTAACATGAATTTTATAAATTTGACACATGTCATTATCATATGAGTAACACACGTCAAATTTGTGGGGAGATGATATATTCAAAAATGCTGAAAAATAATCAAACGATGTCGTTTTGGTAATAATATTTAAATTATATTATTTTAATAATTTTTTAAACTATAGTTCATTGGTGAGTTAGCCTAAAAATAAAGTCCCGTAAAGATACAGATGGGTAAATATATTTTTAAAATTTTTATTACTTAATAATCATATTATTAAGTTATATGAAAGTTTATGAGAGTTCAGTGAAAAAAAACTTGTACGAGTATAATTTAATAGAAGAAAATAAAGTAACGTAAAAGTGTCGGGTAGAGTGATAAACAATTGTTTAGTGCGTACAAGCTGGTCCATTGGAACAACACAAACCAAACCACAATTCCACAGAATGCTCTATAAATTGCAACACACTCTACCTAGATTTCTCATTGATGGGAGTGATCCTCTTATGTCTTTCATAGTTCACATAGCTTCTTGCTATTTTTGCTTTTCATGATTACTGTTCTGTTTCAAAAGTTCATTGATTAGCTAGCAGCTTCAATATTTCCCACATATATATATAACATTTATTTATATATTTATAGAACTATCAATGGCACTTCAATATTCATCCTCAAGTTGGAGCTGCAGGTTTTCCATGACAATAGGGGTTGCCTTGTGCCTCCTTGTGCTCTTGAATAATGCAAGTTATTCATCTGCTCGTTTATTGTTGAACAGAACCAAAGGAGTCTTCATGTCCAAAGAACAGGTTAGGAGAAACCTCCTTGAAAATGGACTTGGCCAGACACCCCCCATGGGGTAAACTTCTTTTTTCTCATTAAACTTTCATTTTTTTTTCTCTCTTCTTCATTACCCTTTTCCCTCTTTTGCATTTAACTTACTCAAATAGTTGAAATACTTCTTGAATTGATGAGTGATATGCTATTTTTGCATCTGATATACACTGATATATCATTTCAAGCAATTTCTAATCGATGCAGTATATATATAATCTCAAATGGTCTCTAGTATAATTAGTAATCACCTTTTTTTCCTTACACATATCTTCAATTCAAATTGCTCTGTAATCTGCAATTGCATCCTCAATATTTTGGAGATGGTGGGGGAAATTGAGAAGGATCTCTACAGCAATCAAAAGGGTATCTGAAATGATAGAATTTACTTTATAATCTATAAAAAATAATGCATATAAATAAAGCGGTTTACTTCTCTCGTGTAATATGAGAGAAGTTATTTTATGTTGTGAGATAAATGAAGTGGGGCCTACTAATTTTTAAAAAAAGAAAAAAGAAAAAAAAGAAAGAAACGTCTTTTTATATGAGTGTAAAATGAGAAATAAATTTCATGTGACATAAGAGTATAATTTCTCGTAAAGAATTATAATAGAATAATAAACAATAATAATGTGTCAAATCCTGGTCGGATTTGTTTACAGAAATCAATAAACAATTTATCCTCATAGGTGGCACCGTCAAGTCCAATTTGCTTAGTTATGAGTGGCACAAGATGAGGTGAGAAATTTCATGGCAGGTTCTTGGTGGTGGAATTTGTCTTGTAATTGATTAAGCGGCAATTATTATTCTTATTTTCTGGATTTTTCGTTACTTGGTTGGAGTTCACTGACATATTGGTAAGATAACGACTCTTGAGGACTTTATTGCAACAATTGACACTGAATATTAGGTGCATGCTAGCTAAGAGCTATTGCTTAATATTATTTACCTAATTGCCACTTATAGGCAATAAAACAATCCTTGGTTGGTTCTTGTTCCATCGTTATTTATTGCATTTGCCAGTCAATAACTTATATGTACAATAATTAACATTACTGCTAATGCACGAACCTTTCAACTTATGGTAGCAACGGATATCTATTAATAGCTCATAATTGAGTTTTCTAGTGATCTTTCAATCACTTCTTATGATTGGGATAGGCTTTACTACATATACTTTCTATGTAACCTTATCTTCACATTTTTAGGTTGAATTTTATTAATAATGTTTATTACATTTGAGCTGAAAGGTTTGTGGTTCGATTCTTAAGTAAAATAATTTAGGGTGTAAGATTAGTCTCATCCATATATTAATATGAAAGGCTTTGAAATTAATATAGAAATATGTTTGGTTTTAACTTGTGATGGAAGCCCAAACTTCTTGCCTATAAAAATTTGACTTTATAAATCCTTAGTATTGAAATTAACATTTTTGACTTGTAAGCTTTTTTTTTTTTTTTTTTTAACAAAAATGTTATTCGAACTAATATCCATTTTTCAAAAAATTAGTTATGAATTTCTTGCAAATATATGAAAGTAAATATTTAGTGACCAATTGTTAAATGATAAAAATCAGGTGGAATAGCTGGAATCATTTTGGCTGTCACATTAACGAAGACTTGATTAGAGAAACAGGTAGCTTATCTATCACTTTATGAATTCGGAATTCGTCGAATTTTTTATATAGAATTGGAGACATATTTTAGATAATATATGTTTGTCTTACATGACTTCATTGTTATAGCTGATGCTATGGTGTCAACGGGCCTTGCTGCTCTAGGTTATCAATATATTAATATAGGTAGGACAACATTTTGTTTTATTATTATTATTAATACTACAACTATAATGCATATTTATTCACAATGAAATAAATAGTAATATATTACTTTTCTATAAATTTTTAGATGATTGCTGGGGAGAGCTTAACAGAGACTCACAGGTAATAATATTATTTTGTGTTATTGAATGTAATAAAAAAAATTATGCTAGCCGTGTTGATTTATTTCGTAAAATTTTTACTCATAATAATTACAAAATTGGTTCAAATCTAAGGAATCTCTTGTTTGTACATAATCATACTATAGTTTTTCACTAAAGTTGTAGTTTCCCAACCTTAAAATAAAATGAATATTCCTTTATCCTATTTTTTTTTTTTTTTTGGTAAAAGCATCTTTTATAGCTGTTTATTTTTTTCCTCTCAAGTAGTTGGATATTTATTTATTTATTTTGAGTAGTAACATAATATTTAAATTAGGTTAAAAATATACGGATGTATGAATAGGTCCTTGTAATTTAAAATTATAAAAAAGTCACTATAGTTTTAATAAGGTTTTCAATAGAGGTTTTTAAAACTAGCGAAAAAATGAGAAAAAGAGTGCTAAAAGTGACATTGAAAGTAATTAAATTCTAAAGTTCAACATTGACTTCTTTTTAAGGAGAGTTCAAAATCATATTTCAACAATTTTTTTTTAAGGTTTTAGGTTAATAAGTCCTTCCAATTAAATAATTCCCACTTAGTCTATTTCTAATCAATACGAAAATTCACTACTTATACTAAAATTCCCCAACATATATGGCTAACAATACTAAGCAAAGAAACAAACTTTCTATATAATATAAACGAGAAAATAATTATAAAAACGAAAGAAAAACAATTTATTGCTCTTTTATCACTGCAAACCTTCAAATGCAACCTTGAAGTTATCAGAGTTTTTTTTTTCTCTTCTATTTATACTTGTTTCTTTATTTGTTTTAAAGAAAAACCTAAAGAGTCTATTTCAACAAAAAACTGTTCTGCCTTGTGCAGATGTGTCCGACCGTAAGTCGGGTGTTTGATATTGGATCTGTAGTTTTCTCTCTAGATACTTATGAATTAGGTATCTTGGGGACAACAAATCACTACACACTATATGATGGCTTTAGCCAGAAGGGAGTGTGTGTGCACTGTCGTGTTTGAATGAATTAGGGTTAGAGAGATCAATCATACCTGTGTCTTTAGCTCCTATTTATAGAATTTACCTTTGGACTTGTACTGGTTGGGCTTCTTGCTGGCATGGGCCTTTCCGAGATCCATAACAAAAACTAAAAGTGTCCAATAGTGTTTAAAATGGCACAGTAGCATGGTTCTTGTTTACGATTTCAAGATTATAATATCCAGTTTCCATGATAATTACATTTGACAAATTCAAAATGGTGGCAGGGCTATTTGGTTGCTAAACCTTCAACATTCCCTTCAGGAATTAAGGCTTTAGCTGATTATGTTCATAACAAAGGTTTAATGTTGGGGATCTATTCTGATGCTGGGTATCACATCTTAAAACTTTAACTTTGATCTTTAGTACGTATATCCTTGATTATTCAACCATTTTTTTTATCTCTAACAATTAATTTCTCTGCAGAAATCAAACATGTAGCAAAACTATGCCTGGATCTTTAGGACATGAAGACCAAGATGCAAAAACATTTGCTTCCTGGGTAACATGCATTCACTTGAAAGTCATTTTGCATTTAAATCAACTTATATCCTATGAGATTTTAATTTACATCTACTTTCAATGTTACTTTAGGGAGTTGATTACTTGAAGTATGATAATTGTAACAACAATGATCTAGACCCTAAAGAAAGGTATTTATGGCATTCAGATGCATACAAATAAACTACATGCTTCTACAGTCCAAGAATTCATAAGTTTTGTAACACAGGTACCCACCAATGAGTGAAGCTTTATTAAACTCTGGAAGACCAATCTTCTACTCTTTGTGTGAATGGTGAGTTGAATTTGTCATCATGTTTCTCATACATGAAGGAGTATACCTATGCAGATAAACTTCACCAAGTCTATTAGGAAAGTAATGTTGCTAAAATAAAGTATAATTAGCATTTCAGTGACTCTATTCCTCTAAGATGCCAGAGATTGCTTCTTCTTCTTTTATTTTCTTTTTCTTTTATGATTAATCGCTTTCTTTCACACAGGGGATCAGAAGACCCAGCAACTTGGGCCAAAAGTGTGGGAAATAGTTGGAGAACAACAGGAGATATAGAAGATAAGTGGAATAGGTGACCATGAATGATATGATATACATTTATTTATTTTCTCTGTCAAAATATCATGAATCTAATTTGAGGAATTTCATTATCTTGTACTTCTTAGGAATTCATTTTCTTATACTTGAATTATTCTGTTTCATTTCTTCATTTTCCTCATGTGAAATTTATGAGACTTTCTCCACAGTATGACATCTCGTGCAGATCAAAATGATAAATGGGCTTCTTATGCTGGACCTGGAGGATGGAATGGTAATCATCCTCACCATTTACTAGTTCTCTTGGACGTATATAGTTATCATGATATCATTCTCAGATTATTGAATACTTAAAATAACTAATTCTTTCTCCGAAATAAATGAACAAATAGTTATGTACATGCATAATTTCTATTTATTATATCCTAATGAAGAAATCAGAGCTCAAGTTCTCAGTTTTTGGTGTACAGATCCTGATATGCTAGAAGTTGGAAATGGAGGCATGACAACAGAAGAATATCGTGCCCATTTCAGCATATGGGCATTAGCTAAGGTAACTTGAAACAAATATTTTAATACTTGTTGCATAGACAATGCCATGTATCATGATAATGTCTTTGAAGGAAAATGTATTTTGTATATTAACTTTTGTTTTGTATATATATAATATAGGCTCCTTTATTGATTGGTTGTGACATTCGAGCACTTGATGCCTCCACAAAGGAACTGCTAAGCAATTCAGAAGTTATAGCAGTAAACCAAGGTATGAACAGAATAAAAAACCCTCTTATCTTTCTTTAAAAGAACATGCTTTTAAAACAACTAACCTTGTGGTATTGCAGACAAACTAGGAGTTCAAGGAAAGAAGGTGAAAAGTAATAATGATTTGGAGGTAATTTCCTTTCCACTTTTTTGTTTTCTTGTGTTAGTGTCTCGTTTTCAGTAAAACTTTAGATAAGGTTCTCAACATCTTCTCTTATAACGCTACCCCATGGTTTCATATAACTACAAAACTATGATCCTGGCACCAATCTAGTTTTCAAGTGCAATTGTCTTATCTTACCATGACAAAGTTGTTAGTGTTAGAAGCCAAAAGTTAATGGGGATTAGATTCTGTTACTTTAATGAAAAATTGATTGAATCCGCTATTATAAATTGAACGACTACATTATTATTGATAATGGTAGATTGATTCACTCTGTTATTAACGGAAATAACGGGAAATTGATTAGCTAGAGTGATATCCTAAGCCAAAATATAATTGGCATTAGATTTCATTAATTAAGAAATCAATTACGTACTTTAATAAAAAATTAATTGACTCAATTATTAACGGAAATAACGGTAAATTGAATGACTTCATTAGTGTTGATATTAACTGAAACAACCAAATTGATCGTTTCCTCGAGATACCATACTGTTGTGTTTAAGTGAGTGAGCTGTTGGTGAGAAAGAAACGAGAAAATCGATTGTATGATAAATAATAAGAGCGTGTGCAAGTGTTCTTGGGTTTAGGGAAAATTCCAAGTGTTGTATACTGATATATTCTGAATTAATCATATTAAATCTTATCCTTTCAATTATTATAATTTTGTAATAACACTATTGTAGTCCGCACAATACTCAACTATCCCTAAAATTCACATAAAAAGAAATATACTAAATGGGTTCAATAGATATCGTTTAAAAGAATACAAGTTGTGTCCTTTTAATGACTTACATAAAATTTGATCAATAAAATTTTGTGTAATTCTGAAAAGTTTTTTTTTCTTCCACTTTACACATTAACAATGTGACTAGGAAGAGAGAAAAAAATAACTTTTTAGATTTACACAAAGTCTTGCCGGTCAGATTTTGTATAAATCGTCTATAAAGACACAAGCTTATATTTTTTAAAAATGATACTTCTTTTCTCCGTACTAAATACTAACAAATATTCCCTTGAAGTTAAAACAATTGGTGTTAAATTTCTCAAAAAAAAAATTTAATGAAAGAAAGCAAATGGTGCAGGTTTGGGCAGGTCCCCTCAGTGATAAGAAAGTAGCAGTGATCTTATGGAATAGAAGTTCATCCAAAGCAACAGTAACTGCATCCTGGTCTGACATAGGCCTTGAAACAGGAACTTTGGTTGATGCAAGAGATTTATGGGAGGTGAGATACTTAGCTTGACTTATTTTGTTCTTTACAATGCACAGCATAAAGAGCATTTAATATACATATGGTTTTGACTCTCTGTATTGAACTTTACAGCATTCAACACAATCATCAGTTTCAGGAGAAATCTCTGTTGAATTAGATTCACATGCTTGTAAGATGTATGTCCTGTCTCCCATCTAAGTTGTTAATTTCTTGAGGCAGAAAAGGAGGTAAAACAATTGGCAACAATTCAATGTTCCAAAAACGGAAAGAGAAATCAACTGGAAATTTATTTGTCAGCAGGAAATATAGAAACAAATGAATAAGTTATATTTCTCGTGAGGTTTCCATTGTAATGCAATAAAAGTCTTTCAAAGCACTATATATAGTTTGACATTTTTATCTATTCCTTCTAGTGATTCTTTTTCACTTTGATTTACATAATTTTAGCGAAAGCATATTTTGCATTTGCCTGAGTTATTAATCTTATGTCACATAAGATAGGTATTTTATGTGAGTGAAACAAAATTGTGGAGCCCAAAATTTTTAAAAAAATAAAAAAAGGAAAGAAAATATGGGCACAAGATTCTATGAGTGTGCAACATAAGACAATTATCTTATGTGACATAATACAACTATTTTCCTAAAATAAATATGGATATTTTTTTTTTTTTTAAGATTTCTCTGGTCGATTATTCGAACAATAATTTTAAATCATTGGTTAAACTGGAAAAACCTTGTACCAGTTAATTTAAGTATGAATTTATTTTTTTAAATTTCTGCCATTGATTACCAAACAATAACTCAAGATCACTGATCATTTGTTAAGTTGGAAAAAGCTCGTTGATTCACGTGTTTGGTGATAAATATAAATAATTTCATTTTTTTATGCTTGTGATAACTCACAACATTGTAACGGATAATATTTAAAAAAAGTAAGATGTGTGTATCATTTTAAAGGATGTAAAGTTCCGTCATTTTAAGTGAAAGAAAGAAATAGATAAAAGAGAAGAGAGTGGACAAAAAAATATAAAGGTGTGGGTTCCACCTTTTTGTGAAAGTAAAAGAATATAAGTAGTGTCCTTAAAAAAGACAAATATTTTTTCCTTTGAAAAATAACTGGTTTGAAATCTATTTTGAAAAACAGTTTTATGAATTTCAAAACAAATGCTTATTTGATAAGACTTGTTTTGTAAAAAAAATTTAGAAATTATAACTGTTTTTTTTTATTAGAATCAAATTTAAAGAATTGAATTTTTTTTGTTTTGTATTTTAATTTTTAACTTTAAAAAAAATATATAAAACACTTATTTCATTAACTACGTTGATTATGAGCATTGAAACCAATTTTCAATGTTTTTATTATTTATTTTAAAAAATGTACTTAAAAATTAATTGTAACTTCAAAATTAAATTTCATAAAAGCACTAAAAATATAAAATGTCTTAATCCTCCCGAATCAAATTAGTTGTGAAGTAATAAAATTAGGAATAGGATATTGTGACAACCAAATAATGTTACTACCAATGTTATTACCACATCTTAACCGTTGATTTCCGTCGATCAACGGTTATCATTTTTCAAATCAAACTCATTAATTAATTATTAATTCGCAATAAATGATAACCGTTGATTGACGAAAATCAACGATTAAAATATGGTAGTAACATTATTTAGTTGTCACAATATCCTATCCCAATGAAATAATAATAATAAAAAGAGCACCAAAAACCATAATAGCACCAAACAACAGAGACAAAGGTAAAAACGATGCTCAGAAACTGAGTAAGTAAATGCCATTGCGTCCTTCATCCCTTGCCAACTTCCAAAGGCCCCTTTACCTATGGAACTTGATGATTCGAGACTCTACCAATGATAGATTCTTCACAGAAACGTTAAAGATATACTCTTCCATGGCACGCTCTGGTGTTCATGGAAACAGCTTCACCTACCCTCTGCTCCTCAAGGCATGTGCCAACCTCGCTTCCATTCCACATGGCACATTGCTTCATGGGCATGTTCTGAGACTTGGGTTCCAAGGTGACACTTTTGTTCAAACTGGTCTAGTTGACATGTACGCAAAATGCTCCCATGTTGCATCTGCACGCCAGGTGTTTGATGAAATGCCGCAGAGAAGTGTCGTTTCGTGGAACGCCATGGTTTCGGCTTACTCTCGTGGATCTTGGATGGAACAGGCATTGAGCCTCTTGAAGGAAATGCAGTTTCTTGGTTTTGAACCAAGTTCGTCCACATATGTTTCGATTTTGTCAGGTTGTTCCAACTTGGATTCTTTCAACTTTCTTTGGCTGGGGAGGTCAATACACTGTTGCTTGATCAAACTTGAGCTTGTGTATTTTGAGGTTTCTTTGACCAACTCACTGATGGGTATGTATGCCCAGTTTAGCCAAATGGATGAAGCAAGGAAAGTTTTTGACTTCATGGATGAGAAGTCAATAATTTCTTGGACAACTATTATTGGGGGTTATGTGAAAGTTGGGCATGCTGTGGAAACATTTAATTTATTTAATCAAATGCAACATCAAAGTATTGGCATAGACTTTGTTGTGTTTCTAAATCTTATTTCTGGTTGCATACAAGAAGGAGAGCTTTTGCTAGCTTCATCTGTTCACTCTCTTATACTCAAATGTGGGTGTGATGGAGAGGATTCCATTGAAAACTCGCTGATAACTATGTATGCAAAATGTTGTGACCTTACATCTGCTAGAAGGATATTTGATCTGATCATTGAAAAGAACATTTTATCATGGACATCAGTGATTGCAGGATATGCTCATTCAGGTCATCCTGTGGAAGCATTGGATCTGTTTAAAGGGATGGTAAGCACAGATATTAGACCAAATGGAGCAACCCTTGCAACTGTTTTATCAGCTTGTGCTGATTTGGGATCACTCAGCATGGGACAAGAGATTGAAGAATACGTTTCTCTAAATGGATTGGCATCGGACCAACAAGTCCAAACGTCTCTCATACACATGTACTCTAAATGTGGAAGCATCAAGAAGGCAATAGAAGTATTTGAAAGGGTGACAGATAAAGATTTAACTGTTTGGACTTCCATGATAAATAGTTATGCCATCCATGGGATGGGGAATGAGGCTATCAGCCTCTTTCACAAAATGACAATCGCAGAAGGGATAATTCCAGATGCCATTGTTTATACTAGTATTTTGATGGCCTGTAGCCATTCAGGGTTGGTAGAAGATGGACTGAAGTACTTCAAAAGTATGCAAAAGGATTTTGGAATATCTCCTACAGTAGAACATTATACTTGTTTGGTGGACCTTCTCGGTCGAGTTGGCCAGCTTGACTCAGCTTTAGATATAATTCAGGCGATGCCACCAGAAGCACAAGCTCAAGCTTGGGCTCCATTGCTTAGTGCTTGTAGGATCCATGGCAATGTTGAGCTGGGAGAGCTTGCAGCTATTAACTTATTAGACCTTAATCCAGGAAGTTCTGGAAGTTATGTATTAATGGCTAATTTGTATACCTCTTTGGGCAAGTGGAAGGAGGCGCATATAATGAGAAATTTGATTGATGGTAAAGGATTGGTTAAAGAATGTGGCTGGAGCCAGGTTGAGGTAAGTGGTAGATTTCATACGTTTGCCACTGGAAATCAGTCACACGTTGGGTTAGTCAATATCTATAAGACACTAGAAAATCTAAATTTTACTCTTCAAGAAGGTAGCTATACAACAGAAGCACTAACAGTGAATAATTAATTGTAAAATAAAACAGATTAGGAAGCCTCTGAAAACCTCAGATTATCCAACAAATAGTTGAAGCAGCTCATGTCAGTAGATTATAAGAACATGCAAAGTGATTATGACCCTGCATGGAATTCATCTCCTTGACTTTTGACTGGATTTAATAATGCAAGATTACTAAGCGTTGCATTTTGAATCTGATTCTTTTTGTCCAAGTAAGGACTTGAGGTGAAGTTGTGATTTCCTTCTCACCTTTCCTATACTGGTTCTCTAATTAAGCAGTTATTTCTGATACTTAACCAGGCGAAGTGTTTACTATGAATTTGACTCGTGTCTTTTCATGTAATTCAACTTCTTTGCAAAGGGTTAAAGATGTAAATTGAAATCATCATGCCTTATTGTCCTTTCTTCCAGAAATTTCTTGATGACTACATTCAGTTTTGTTACTGAATCAGATTTATATATCATTCATACAATGGAATCTGGCTGAAGGTAACCAACTTGGTTAAAAGTACTACCATTATCCATCTTTGGGCATAAAAATCTTTGTTGGTCACTAGCTAACTCTGATAATTTTCAAATTACACCATTGAAGTTTTCAAGTACTGGCCAAGCATAGCTCATGATATTAGCATTCCAATGACTTGCCTCCTTCTCCATTCATAGGTCATAACGTGGCAAGTCTTTATTTATGGCTGATCTCTTTTCTTAAAATATATTTATAGCTTGATAGTTCAAGTTTGTCGCATGCAGTTGACCAATTAACAAAGGCATTAATAAAAACTCAAGTATACAAAAGAATAAAAATGAAATACTCAAGAGTGATTATGAATCTATATAGTATTTCTCTGTCACAAGATTTTTTGGTATTCAACCATTAAAAGAATCTTCTATCATTCCCTGTTGCTATTGCAAATATACGAGAGGACCAAGTCAAAGTATTTTGGAACTCCCCTTGCATGAAATATATTTGTAACATATATATCTAGTTCCATCTGATCTAAGCCCCAAGAAAATATACAAGTCATCAATGAAACAATATCCGATGGCCCACATTCTTATTTATGAATGGCACTAATCTTTGACATGATAAAAAATCAGTAACAAATATATAAGAATTTTCTCATGGTCCTCTCATCTTCTCGACAATGTGACGCTTTTTTTCTTGAAAATTCTCGTTCATCTTATTGTTGGAAATCGACAATCACACAGAATCGAGAAAACAGAAAAAGAGATAAGAGTAGAGAGATTAACACGATGATTTACCCTGGTTCACCCAATATAGGCTACGTCCAGCTTGTCTGTACTATATTCACCTCACCGCCACTCGTTACAAGTCTCTCGGTTTACAAGGCAAATATAAATAGGATTACAAGAAACCCTAACAGCAGCTATTCATGGGCCCAAGCCCAAACTGCTAAGAAAATTACAATAGAAACAGAGGCCTAAACATTACCTAGCCTCTACGGGCCTGGGGGCGCTGCCCCCCGGACCCCCGCCCGCTCACCTGGGAGCGGGACCCCAGTTGCCTTTCTGCTGACCCCGACAATTAGGGGCAACATCATCATGTGAAGTATGAGCCATACCCAACATTCTCCCACTTGGTGAATGCTTCACATGTTTCTTCAATCCCAAAGCACCTGTACACCATTCAAACTTCTCCGAAGTCACTGCCTTGGTCAGAAAATCAGCATTGTTGACCTTTGTGTCAACCTTCTCCAGCAATACAACCTTGTCTTCAATCTTCTCTCTGATGAAGTGGTACTGTATGCCGATATGCTTGGTCCTCGCATGGAAACCTGGGTTCTTAGCCAAGAAAATGGCGCTCTGACTGTCACACCCAACGATCATCTCTCCTTGTGCAAAGCCAAGCTCTTTGCACAACCTCCGTAACCAAATAGCTTCCTTAACAGCATGTGTCAAGGCCATGTACTCAACCTCTGTAGAAGATAAAGCAACAATGCTCTACCTCTTACTCATCCAACTGATAGCTCCGCCAAATGAAGAAACAACATATCCACTTGTAGATCTTCTACTATCAATGTCACCTCCCCAATCAGCATCCACAAAGCATCTTAGCTCTAACAATGTCTGTCCCCTTGAGCCCTTCACGCCTTCATAGCATAACCCAAGGTCAGACGTACCACGAAGATAGCAGAACACACGCTTCACAGCCGTCCAATGCTCATTTCCTGGCTTGGACATATACCTGCTCAATACTCCCACTGCTTGAGCAATATCAGGTCGAGTACAAATCATGGCATACATCAGACTCCCTACTGCACTAGCATAAGGAACTGACGCCATCTCTTCTTTTTCTTCTTCAGTCTTGGGACACTGGTCAGCCGATAACTTAGAACCAGTAGACATGGGAGTCAACACAGGCTTGCAGTCAGTCATCTTGAATTTCTTCAGAACATCTTCTATGTACTTCTGCTGACTTAACCATAATCTTCGTTTGTCACGCTCCCTCTTAATCTGCATACCCAAGATCACATTTGCAGCGCCTAGATCTTTCATTTCAAACTGCTTTGCTAGCTGTCCTTTAACAGTGTTGATCATTTTCAAACTGTTTCCAACGAGTAACATGTCGTCAACATACAAAGTTAGAATAACAAAGTCACCTTCTAACCTTTTCACATAAACACAGTGATCAGCATCACAACGGTCAAAGCCAAGCTTCAGCACATAAGTGTCGAACTTCATGTACCACATCCTTGGGGACTGCTTCAGGCCATACAGAGATTTATTCAGCTTGCAGACTAGCTCCTCTTTGCCTCTTGCAATGAACCCCTCTGGTTGCTTCATGAAAATAACCTCCTCCAAATCACCATGAAGAAAAGCTGTCTTCACATCCAGCTGCTCCACCTCTAGGTCATATGCAGCTGCTACAGACAAAACCAGTCTTATGGAATTTAACTTTGCAACAGGTGAAAATACCTCACCATAATCAACCCCTTCTGTCTGTGAATATCCCTTTGCAACCAATTGAGCCTTGTAGCGTTCAATCTCCCCATTGGCACCAACCTTCTTCTTGAACACCCACTTGCAACCAATTGCTTTTCGGTCTGCAGGTAGATTCACCAAACTCCAAGTTTGGTTTTTCATCAGAGACTTCATCTTTTCTTTCATAGCTTCCTCCCACTGTTTGGCATCCTCCGAGCTCCTCGCATGTTTTACAGTGCTCAGATCATCACCTGTAATACTAAATGCACAAACATCATTACTAGCACACAGGATATAATTTTCAGGTGTATACCTCTCAGATGGTCTTCTTTCCCTCGTGGATCTCCTCAGCACTGGTGCTTCAACCTCAGCCTCAGTTTCAGAAAATTCATCCTCTACCTCATTATATTCAGCAGCTTCAGAATTCAAATTTTCCAATTCAATCTGTGAGTTTATTGTATCCTATTTCAAACCCACATCCAACTCCACCGTCTGTGACTTTTCAGGAGCTTCAGGAAAAATCTGATTCAACTTAGATTCTCTGAATACAACGTCTCTGCTGTAAGTTACACTTCTAGTATCCGGATTCCACAACTTATAACCTTTGACGCCATCCTTGTACCCAATAAAGATACACTTTTCAGATTTACTGTCAAGCTTGTTTCTTTTCTCCTTGGGTACGTGCATATAAGCTTCACAGCCAAACACTCTGATATGAGATACGTCTGGCCTTTTTTTAAACAGTGCTTCATACGGAGTCTTCTCCTTCAAAGCTGATGTAGGAGATCTGTTCTTCAGATAACAAGCAGTAGCCACTGCCTCTGCCCAAAACTCAGTTGCCAAGCCTGCACCGCTCAGCATACTCCGTGCTTTCTCCATGAGAGATCGATTCAACCTCTCTGCCACCCCATTCTGTTGAGGTGAGTAGGGCGTAGTCTTTTGTCTTACAATCCCATTGCTCGCACAAAACTGGTCAAATTTTGTTGAAGAGAACTCCCCTCCATTGTCAGTTCTCAGCACCTTGATTTTTTGATCAAATTGATTTTCCACCAAAGCCTTGAACTCGCAGAATTTATTGAACACTTCATCCTTGCTGCGCAAGAAATATAACCACACATATCTTGAAAAATCATCAGTAAAAGAAACATAATACCTTGATTTTCCATGTGATGCTACAGGTGTGGGGCCAAACACGTCGCTGTGTATCAAGTCCAGAACCCCCTCAGCTCTTCCTCCTATGGAATCAAAAGATACCCGATTTTGCTTCCCTTGCAGGCAATGCTCGCAAAATCCAAACCCCATAGAGCAGCTCGGAATTCCATCCACCAACTTCTTTGATGTTAGAGTCTCAAGACCTTTTCCTCCAATATGCCCCAGCCTCCTATGCCATAACATAGCAGTGTCCTCCTCCGCCTGTTCTGAAACATAGCTTTCACCACTGAATACTGTGCTACCCAGCAGTTTCCACAATTTACCATGACGCTCTCCTCTTGCAATAACCAAAGCTCCTCGAGTCAGCTTGCAAGAATACTTGTCACTGCTAAAATTAATACCAGCATCTGCCATACTACCAACGGAGATCAGATTTCTGGTAAGCCCCGGAATATGCATCACACCCGACAGATTCTTGACTGTCCCGTCACTCATCTTCAGCTTTACCTTCCCACGCCCCACAATTGCATGAGTCGTGTCATCTCCCATTCTAACTGTACCGCCAGAATACGATTCATAGGTGCAGAACTACTCCCTATGAGGTGTCATATGAAACGATGCTCCAGTGTCAATAATCCAATCATTACAGTCATTATGACTGTCAAACGCCATGTACAGGTCCCCTGTACTATCATCATCATCCTTCTTTGTACCTGAAGCAGACGGTTGTGAATCATCCCGCTTCTCAGGACCTACACTTTTACTTCTGCAATTCCTTCTCAGATGTCCAACCTTTTTGCACCTCCAGCACCTCATTTCAGATTTATCAGATTTATCACGGGACTTTGATCGTCCCCTCGATCTTCCTCTGTGACCAGACTTTGATTTGTCATCACTCCTCCCTCTAGCAACCAGAGCCTCATTGTTGGTACCTTCAGAACCTACCCTTCTCATCTCCTCAGACAATAAGGCAGCAACAACCGTCTCAAACGACAATTTATTAACACTAGTACCAATT